AGGGATGAGAAACTTCAGTTATGAGGACAGATTGGAAAACTTGGGGCTGCTTTTCTTGAAGAGGAAAAGGTTGAAGGGAAATTTAAATATTGGGCGGAGGGTCTAATGATAACCATAAGTCCATTGTCGATTGTTGGAAAAACCTTTCTGCTTCACTCCTTACCTGGTCTGGCCTACATGTGACTCCAGACCCACAGCAATGTGGTTGACTCTTAACTGCCCTCTGGGCAATTAGGGATGGGCAATAAATGTTGCCTAGCTAGCAACACCCTCACCCTGTTAATGAATAAAGGAAGAGTGTTTTTATTTCATGTTGTGACCCATGGAAAGTTGGGACTGCAGCGAGGGTGCACTCCTCCAGCCTCATTGCTAACCCTCAGTTTGGAGACCATCCTGGTAAATGTGCTTTCTCATGTAGGACTGAGATTCTATTTGAACTGACGCTTCACGTTATAGTTATCTAAAAACGTCCATTCTCTGTCTGTTAGATTTCACAGATAAACCCATGATATTCCCTGTGGAAATTATCACAGGAAAGCGTGTGAACCTGAGCTGCACCTTCAACACAACATGCAATGGAACAGCTCCTGCCTTAACCTGGGACACTCCCACTGCAGTACCTGGATCAGTCTCAAACACTGTAACTCAGCATGGTGTCACTCTGACCTATACTTCTGTTTTGAGCCTGACACCATCACTCAGACACCAGGGGCAAACTCTCACCTGCAGAGTGAGTTATCCAACTGTTTCATCAGTGCAGACCCTCATACTGACAGTGCAATGTAAGTATAGACATCCTTCATTCAACTTTCCTGAAATAGCTTACTTTGTGCACAGCAAGATTCCACAATTTCTAATATCCTGCACATCTGGTTTCAACTGAGCAATCTCAGACTGAGAAGGCAAAGACTGTTTTGTCGCATTAAAGATGAGTGTTGCACTCCCTCAGTACCAACATTCAGGTAGTGAGGCCTTTTTTCTGCACTGACTCTTCAACATGCAGCATCCCCTCAATGACTGACCATCCATCAGTGTGGCACTCCTCAGCACTGACTCTCTGACTGTATGGTAGTTCCTCAGTACTGGTCCTCTCACAGTGCGGCACTCCCTCAATACTGACCCTCTAGCAGTGCAGCTCTCCATCAGTACTAGCTCTTTGACAGTGAAGTTGCCAGGGTTGGAGGACTTGTGCTACAGGGAGAGGGTGAATAGCCTGGGGCTATTTTCCCTGGCGCGTTGGAGGCTGAGGGTGACCTTACAGAGGTTTATAAAAACATGATGGACATGGATGGATAGGGTGAAGAGCCAAGGTCTTTTTCCCAGGGTAGGAGAGTCCAAACCTGGTGGGCATAGGTTTAAGGTAAGAGTGAAACATTTAAAAGGGACCTAAGGGGCAACTTTTTCACACACAGGGTAGTGCATGTATAGAACTGGCTGCCAGAAGAAGTGTTGGAGAATGGTACAATTTCTACATTGAAAAGGCAGCTGAATGGGTATAGGAATAGGAAGAGTTTCGAGGGATATGGGCCAAATGTTGGCAAATAGGGCTAGATCAACTT